ACATGATCCTTAGAGGGAAGTTTAGAGCTCTAAGTGCCTACATCAAAAAATCGGAAAGAACACAAATAAATGGCTTGACATTGCAACTGAACACACTTGAAAAGCACAGCATACGAAACCCAAACCCAGCAGACAAGAAGAAATAACAAAAATCAGGGCAGAAATTAATGAAATTGAACTAGTTATGACCTGTATTAGTTGACTTACTGCAATGAAATACCTGAGGCAACTAACTTATAAAGAGAAAGATTTATTGGAGGTTCTAGTACAAGACTGGGTCGCCCCATAGCTTTGGGCTTTGGTGAGGATGCCAGATTTCAAGTGTGGCAAACATACCAGAACAAGTAGATCATACCACAAGCAAGAAACAGGAGACTAAAAGGCTGGGGGCATCCCATAATTTGCTTTGGGGTCATTACCTGCAGTGACTTAAAGACTTAAAGGTCTTATGTAAACAATACCTCATCTTATAAATGTTCACAGTACCTTCTGATAACACTATCCTTGTTTAACACATGGACCTTTGGGGGTCCCTATCCATATTCAAACTCAGCAAGGTCTTAAAATAAGGTGGGATGGAAATAGTGTTAAATTGAAAGCCAAAGTGTGTAGTGGATCATCCTTGGTACCGGAGGGACTCAAAAGTTCCACATTCTTTGCTAAGAGCAAACTCTTCTCCATGGTGTGGGAATTAGTGATTTTGGCTTTAAGATGGCATCTTGTAGCGCTTAAAAGGAGAATAAAGAGGAGAACAAGAAGAAAAAGAAAGAGAGAGAGAGAGAAGGTTAAGAGGAAGAAAAGAGGAAAGGAAAGAAGAGAAAAAAAGAAAATAAATTCAAAGGGTTTGGCCCAAATTGTTCTTTAATGATCTTGTCAATGTGCATTTGCCTTGTCATTGTGTCTGTTTTATCTGCCTCTATTTTGATTCGGGATGTGATCCTGTTACCTCATGTTTATATGACAGAACATAAGCTCAGCAGCATAGTTCCCTGGCTTTCCCATCATGACATTGCACTGGCTGCTCTTGCAGAGGACCCAGGTTTGTTAGCCACATGGTGGCTAACAACCTAGTATAGCTCCAGTTCCAGGGGATCCAAAGCCCTCTTCTGACCTCTAAGGGCATTGCATGACATAGGTACACATACATACATGTAGGCAATATATTCACACACATAAAATACAAAATCATAAATAAAATATGTAAAAGAAAAAGACAATAAATTACATGTTTGTGTTTGCAACAATAGGAAACTAGTGGTCCCTTGGAAAGTCTTGGTAGCTATGTACCCCAGTGTGAAGTTCTTTGGGCCTTTCATCCCAGGCTTTACATTTGGGACCACGAGTTGGCTTGGTTGCCCCATCCCTAGGCAAGATTGGGTGAACTGGTATCCCAGACATCTTGTTGAAGGCATGTGATTGGCTGTCAGCCAAGGAGACCTCCATATGGCCACCAAATTCCTTCTGAATGGAGTAAGGAGGTCTGTTTCAAGTCAGAGGTGAAAAATTTTGGCTGGATTATCCCAGTAAATTCTCTGGATGCCTGGCAACTCCCTGGTTTGAGGCATTCTCTCACTGATGAGAAAGTCTGAGTATCGCATCCCACACTCACTCCTCCACTGGGGCAGCCTGTGTTGGTAAACTGTATAGATGCCCCAAGATCTGCTTTGGTTGACTCTTCTCCACTCTGCTGGTTTTCTGCTGGTGGAGGTAAGCTAGGAGAGATAGGTTATGGACGTAGGAAGACAGGCACTGACTTGCAGCTTCAGAAGGCCTCCCAAGCATGTGTCCCAGTCACTTCACCCGGCAGATAAAGGAACTTGTTCAGGATTAAGGTGGTGGTTAAGCTTGGACCATTTCCTTTTGTGTGGCTTGGCAAAGAGAAAAATTGTCTATCAGTTTTTAAGTGGAAGTCTTAGCCTGACCTGGAAGAGGATCCCAGCTAGTTCCATTTCTCAGTGAGTGGGAAGTACTGACAACACAATGTTAGGATAAGTTCAGGCACGGGAAGAGGAACCACAGAGAAACAGGCAGTGCAAGCTGGGGAAGATGCAGGGAGTTGGAGCCCTTCTGGCCCATTCTGGGGATCTCTAACAGGCCAGTGCCTTCCAGGGTAGCTGTCCCAGGTCTCCCCTATTTGGCCCAGACTCTGGGCAGGGACGGAGGAGCTGGTAGGAGAGCATCCCTAAGGAAGATGTGCAGAGCTGGCTGGAGGCCCAGCAGGGCGGGCGAAGGCAGAGGGGTGGGGATCAGGGGTGGGGACCAGGAGTGGGCTGAGCCCTCAGGCTCTGACCCAGTCCACCGCCGAAGAAAACAGCAGTCAGTTCATTCACTCTTCTTTCTGGAGAAGGGAGGGGATAAAAGGTATCTGGCCTCTGCTTAGAAAAAGCCTGGAGAGCTCCTGTGTAGCATCGCCTGCCGCTCCCTTCCCAGGCTCGGACCATGCCCCACTGCATCTTCCTGCGCAGCCACAGGCGAGGAGTGGATTTCTGCAGCTGAGAGAGAAAAGTTTGTTTTTTACTTTTCTTCTTCCCAACAACTGAATCATGCCATGTGCACAGAGGAGCTGGCTTGCAACGCTCCCCGTGGTGGTGGCTCAACTTCTTAACTTTGGGGCGCTTTGCCACGGGAAACAACCTCAGCTGGGCCCAATTCGCTTCCCAGACCCTAAACAAGGTTAGTGGCTCTTCTTTATTTCCTTTCAAACAGTGGGTGGCAAGACTTGTGGGACTTAGTCGGTCCCTTTCCACTTCCCCCACTGAGCGGAGTGGGAGCTCAGTCCCTGCCTTCCTCTCGATCAAAGGTGAAGGTACTGATAAATGGTATCTAACTTTTCACTGAGGGGTGACTGCCCCTCTTTTTTACATAGAGGGAACTCTCTCTCTCTCTCTCTCTCTCTCTCTCTCTCTCTCTCT